GATGGACAGTAGCTAAAGCAAATGGAAGAAATGACAAGATAAAAGAGTTGAACAGATTTCAAAGAGCAGCTTGAGGAGAGAAAGCCAATTATTATAATGAAATGTGCAAAGACCTGGAGTTAGAAAACCAAAAAGGAAGAACACACTTGGCATTTCTCAAGCTGTAAGAACTGAGGAAAAAAATTAACCCTTGAGTTGCAATATTGAAAGATTCTGTGGGCAAAATATTGAATGATGCAGGAAGCATTAAAAGAAGATGGAAGAAAAATACAGAGTCAGGGTACCAAAACGAACTGGTCAATGTTCATCCATTTCAGGAAGTGGCATATAATTAAGAGCCAATGGTATTGAAGGAAGAAGTCAAGGAAGGAATTGGTGCAAAATAAGGCACTGAAGGAATTGGTGAAAAAATAAGGCTCCAAGAATTGACAGAATACCGATTAAGATGTTTCAACAAACGAATGCCCCACTGGAGGCACTCACTTGGTTATGCCAAAAGATTTGGAAAACAGCTACCTGGCCACCAGACTGGAATAAATCCATATTTGTACCCATTTCAAAGAAAGATGATCCCAGAGAATATGGAAATTATCGAACAATATCATTGATATTGCAAGCAAGTAAAATCTTACTGAAGATAATTCAAAAATGGTTGCAGCAGTATACTGACAGAGACCTTCCAGAAATGCAAGCTGGATTCAGAAGAGGATGTGGAATGAGGGATATCATTGCTGATGTCAGATGGATCTTAGCTGAAAGCAAAGAATACCAGAAAGATGTTTACTTGTGTTTTATTGACTATGCAAAAGCATTTGATTTTGTGGATCATAACAAATTATGGATAACATTGAAAAGAATGGGAATTCTAGAACACTTGATTGTGCTCATAAGGAACTTGTACATAGATCAGTAGGTTGTCATTTGAACAGAAAAAGGGGATACCGCATGGTTCAAAATCAAGAAGGGAGTGGATCAAGGTTGTGTCCTTTCGCCATACTTATTCAATTTATATGCTGAGCAAGTAACCCGAGATGCTGCATTATATGAAGAAGAATGTGGCATCAGGAGTGGAGGAAGACGCACTAACAACCTGTGATACTTAGATGACACAACTTTGCTTGCTGAAAGTGAGGATGACTTGAAGCATTTATTGATGAAGATTAAAGACTATAGTCTGCAGTATGGATTACACCTCAATATAAAGAAAACAAATATCCTCACAAATGGTCCAATAAACAGCTTCATGATAAATGGAGAAAAGATTGAAGTTGTCAATGATTTCATATTACTTGGTTCTACAATCAACACCAACAATGGAAGCAGCAGTCAAGACACCAGATGACATATTGCATTGGGCAAATCTGCTGTTGACCTCTTTCAAGTGATGAAGAGCAAAGATGTCTCCTTGAAGAGTAAGGTGCCCCTAACCTGAGCCATGGTGTTTTCAATTGCCTCTTATGCATGTGAGAGCTGGGCAATGAATAAGGAAGACCAAAGAAGAGTTGATGATTTTGAGCTATGGTGTTGGAAAAGAATGCTAAGAGTACCATGGTCTGCTAAAAGGACTAACAAATCTGTCCTGGAAGAAGTGCAGCAGGAATGCTCTTTAGAGGTGAAAATGGCCAGACTCGTTTCACCTACTTTGGTCATGTTGTCAGAAGGAACCATTTCCTTGAGAAAGGTATCATGCTTGGTAAGGTGGAGGGTCAATGAAGAAGGGGAAGACCCTCAACGAGATGGACTGACACAGTGGCTGCAACAATGGGCTCACATATAGATTGTGAGTCTGGCACAAGACCAGGCAGTGTTTCGTTCTGCTTTGCATAGGGTTGCTATGAGTTGGAGACTACTCTATGGCACTTAACAACAAACTCATCATTGTGATATTCAGAAGGAGCAATAAGAAAATATACTTTTTTTGTTATTAGATAATAGTATTTTCTGAATTTAAAATATTTAAATATGCTTTATCTACTTAGTATAATATTTGAATTTGTGTATATCAATCTGAAATTCCTGAAAATCAGATGTTTTATGGTAGCAGTGCTGATAATTCATATACCATACACACTGAATATGGACAGTGAAAATCTTAAATACAGATTATTCTGGTGTAAAAAGATAGTCAGTGAACTAAAAATGCACCCCCAGACATAATCTTGAGATCAATTTATAGAATATAATATTTCCCCCCAGCAAATTATTCTGAACAAACACACCAACAAACCTCCAAAAACAAAAAACCTCCCTACCATAGTTGGAAATAAAAGGTTCCCAACACTGCTATGATGTACAATGTTTCCATTTAAGATAGGCTATATACAACAAACACCAGAAAAATATCCCTCTTAAATTGTGAACGTAATATACAATCTTCAGGAAAGTTTAAATAAATCTTTCCACTCCAGAAATTTTTTCCCATAATGTTATGAATTCTCCAACAGTCATAAACACCATCATTTATCCCCTGTGCTAGTGACAATGTAGGTGTCTAATACACATTTGCTCAATGCCCAAAAGAACATCATTAAATGTTATGAATATTGCAAATGACAGGATGTCAAAGATTTTCCAGTTTATTACCTGTAGACATAGTATCATTCTTTTACTAGTGGATTTTTTTTTTTTTCTCCTTTAGGTTTACCTTCTCTTAAAAGATGATAGAAATTTAAGATGTTGTTTGTTTGTTTAGGGTACAGTACCAAAGGTCCTCATTTATTTAATATAAAGAACATTTGTGGACATTGCATTTTAAAGCCATCATTTTTATTTACTATATCATAT